ACTGTGCCAAAACCAACCAAATTGCACTGAAATTCCCACTCCTTTATTCAAATGTAGCCATCAAACTGTTGCCTCTAAGTGGACTTTCCCTGTGCATTTACTTACCTCTTCATGGAGAACTTTATCTAACATTTGTGGTTGTTGAGCTTGGCACACAGATTTGTTTCAGTCTCATTTCCTCACACCAAACCAAAGAGGAGCTGGAATGGTGCTGCATCCTCCTCCCCCTCCCTGAAGTAACTTCCTTAAAACATGCAGTGCTTTTACTGGGAGCTATGTCATGAGCAAAGCTAGTCTATATATTACTCTCATTATTCAAACAAGATGAGGGTAGCTAAATATTCAATTCTCTGTTAAAAGTGTATCCTTTCTCTGTTTATAAAAACATTCACTGCAGAGGGCAAAGTCAACATTACTGAGGAGGAAAGCAGACCTTCTCTTCCAAATGGTAATTTTCCAGCCAGCCATTCTTTTGTGAAGAGGAAATGTGCATACTGTGCACAGTTCTGACATGCTTCCACAGCATATGGAGTTCTGGGTTTTCATACACTTTCTGGTTCAGATGGTTTAGGTGCAAATTTTGGTTCCATTTTCTAAAACTGGATTTAGTTACACATGCTTACTGCTGGTGATTAAGTGTGGAATATTTCTTGACTACTCTAGGTGCCATCATTGCTGTCACTCTTTGACAACTGTATAAACAGGGATGTGCTGCTCAGAGCCCTGGTGTTTGCAGCAAACTTGAAGAAGAATATGAACAATGAAGATGGGACTGTGACTAAAGGCCAGTACAGTGAAGACTCAATTTTCTTTACCCTCTGTGGGGACTCTGCCTCCTTCACTCAGAAACTGATGTCTTTGCTGCATCACCCTGATACAGAGGTGAAAGAGCAAGTTGTGAGAATATTAACACAATAGTGTTGATTTCTGAAAACAGACTGACCTGATAAAAACATCTAACCTTGGGAATGTTGTGCTAAATAAACCTACAACAAGCAAAAAAACCAACACAAAGAACCCTGAGTACTGCCACGTTCCTAGGTACAAATCAGGCACTGCAGAAGAGAATACAGAGAGCATAACAGATTATTTTTTTTACAAGCAATACAAAAGCAAAGCACTGCACAGCTGTTACATGTATGCAAAGGATGGAAGAGTTAAAACATGAAAATGTTCATACATAGAGTGAACATTTAAATGGATGAGTAAAGTGAATCAAAATATCCTTCTCAATGTCATTATTTTCTACCTTAAGTATTTACAGCTGTTGCATAAATACCTCTTGTGAATTGTGCATTATTTAGCAATCGGAGATGTACCTACAGACTGGGGAATGAGATGCTGGAAAGTTCCATGGAAAGGGACCTGGGGGTCCTTGTCAATGGCAGGTTGAATATGAGTCACAGTGTGCCATCCATGTCCTGGGGTGCATCAGGCACAGCATCACCAGCCAGTCAGGGGAGGTGATTGTCCTGCTCTGTGCTGGTGCAGCCTCACCTTGAGTAGTGTGTGCAGTTTGGAGCAACAAAATTTAAGAAATATGTTAAGTTATTGGAGAGTGTCCAAAGGAGGCAACCGAAAATGAAGAGCCTTGAGGGGAAGCCACGTGAGGAGTGACTGAGGTCACTTGGTCTGTTCAGCCCTGAGAAGAGGAGACTGAGGAGAGATCTCATCACTGAATACAACTTACTCATGAAGGAGGGGAAGGGGCAGCACTGACCTCTTCTCTCTGGCAACCAGGGACAGGACCCAGGGAATGGGCTGAAGTTGTGTCAGGGGAGGTTTAGGCTGGAGATTAGCAAACGGTTCTTCCCCCAGAGGTGTTTGGGCACTGAACAGCTCCCAGGGCAGTATCACAGCCCCAAGGCTGACAGAGCTCCAGAGGAGTTTGGACAATGCTCTCAGGCACAGGGTGTGATTGTCAGGGATGTCCTGTGCAGGGCCAGGAGTTGGGCTAGATGATCCTCAAGGGTCCCCTCCAACTCTGATTATTCTGTGATTCTGTGAAGTGGAATACATGCATCACTGTGAAAGAACCTGAATGGAGTTTCACCAATTATTAGAAAACATACTAGAAAATAGTTATAAAACCAGATGAGTAAAAATCTTCCTAACAGAGCATCATAGAGAAGCAACATAAAGAACACTAAAAAAACCAAAAAGTATCAGATGTGAAGACCAGGAAACAAGTTTTCCACTTGGTACCATTTTTAAGAGAACTGTATCACTTAAACTATCATCAGGTGCTTCATCTTTCTGATTTAATATACCCACTCAGCACTTAATAAAACTGTTACTATCTTCTCTTTCTGTAATGCAATAGATTATTTTCAGAAGGTGACTATGCAAACAGCTAAAACTGCAAGAAAAGTATGACCTTGAAACTGCACCATACCTATGCCCTGATCAATACAGGGGTAAAGCTACATGTATCTAATTTATCTGCATAGGTAGTTTTAACTCACCAGGAATACAGTTAAGGCAAAAATAGAAGTTGGAATCATTCCCAGTCAGAGCCCTGACAATTGACAGTGAACTTCCTTTCCTCCTTCCCACCACTCTTAAAACACTGTACAGTTTGTAGGAAGTTACATTAGAGTCGCTTCATGTTTTGTCACTTTTTGTGCATTTAATGCTTTTGCTGCCATATTTAACAAAGAAAAATAAAGGCTAAGTTAGACCCTAAGAATTTACCAATCCCACTCTCTTCCAACAAGACCTTAAGACTGATCTGTTCTAGGTGTAGCTTATATGTTTTCTTAAGCTCAGCAGCAGAGATGTTGAGATGTCCCTTGCCATCATCTCCAACCTAAAAATAATTATTTCAAATACCATCTTTCTGATAGAGTTGATCTCTTATCCTTTCATAGAATCATCAAAGTTGGAGGAGACCTCTAAGATCATGAAGTCTAACCATTAGCTGCCACTTTTTCTTTGGGAGCTGACAGAAATGAGTGACCGTTGTCCCCTTTTCTAAAAATACATCAAAACCTGCCACAGTGTTGTCTCAATTATTCTTTTTCTGGCCTAGAAAGATCTATGTTTAAAAGCTTTTGTCATGGACAATGCTATTAAAATGTCCTGAACTCATGCAAGACTCTCCAAAGTGCCTTCATGCAAGGATGTCTAATTTTTTTATCCTCCACCCCACACCTTAGATGGAATCTCATCAGCTCCAAGCAAAGCATAACAGTCACAATTCTACTACAGATGTTTTGTGTTAATAGATCCAGACCAAAACAGGACATTACTGACATTCAGTCTCTAAGTCAGTACTTCTCTGCTGTGTGGCTACTTATCCAAGTATTCTGTATTTCAGTTTCAATCCTTCTAAAGCACAGAATTTTACAGAATTGCTGACACTGAAAATGGGGGAAAAAACCCCAAAACTCACCAAAAAACAACTGCAATTTTAACTTTGCCCTTCAAAGTACTCAACACTTCGTGCAGCTCGGTGTCTTCCACAATATTACAAACATGTGACATGCATTGCATCACCCAAATTGTGACTGAAGCTGTTGTGTAAATACAAGGCTCAATAGAGACTTCATCTGAAACACCCTCCCAAAACCAACACCCGGTGGCAGAGTAGTTTTAAACCAGTTTTGAACAAAGTTTGGCAAATACATCTAGATCATACTAGAATTACCTTTAGAAATGAAGAAATCTCAATGTTTCTCAAAGCCAGGTTGGATGAAGCCTTGAGCAACCTGCTCTGGTGGGAGGTGTCCCTGCCCAGGGCAGGGGGTTGGGCCTGGATGACCTGTAAAGTCCATTCTAAGCCCTAAAATTCTATGATTCTGTGATTAATCCCATGAAAGGAACATAAGCTGCTTTTTCTTACATCTCAGTGTAAGCTCTGTTCCAGAACTCTTCCTCAGCATGAACTTGGACTAACTCATCTTTGCCTCCTTGTGCTGTTCTTTGTTGATATGAAGATCTATAAGACTTAATTGTATCAGAAGTCCTAGAAGACATAACTGTCAACAGTTAAAGATGAATTCGGGTTGCTCCTAGCATGAAATCTCATTAACTGGTTTTAGTTAGTTGCCAGAAGTTTGTCTTTAATTGCATGGAAATACTTTTAAATTTACCTTCTTGAAGTATGAAAATAAAGTGTAATTCACAGCAAGAGGAAAAAACCCCAAACACACATATCTCACAGACCAAAACAAGTCATGAACAAAATAAAAATGATTTGCCAATGAATTACGAAGGCGAATAACCATTTTTATTGGCAACAATAGGTTTTATTTCTGTCAATTAACATGGCAATTTGATACAGACATATTTAGCCAAGTTTTATAATACTGAACAATGTTGCAATCTCTTGAAAATCATAGGGAAGCTATAAGAAAAAAATACCACAGCCCTTGCTTAAGACTTTTCACATAAAAAACAAAATGGTACTTAGAAAAAGGCTGAGTCAATGCAAAGACAAGGAACCATTAAGGGATTCTTCCATTTCATTTGCACATTCAGACCTAACTTAAAAACACTGACAGAACAATGAAGGTGTGCAGAAACCCTGGCCAGCAGTTCATTTTACACATCCATGAAGCAATATTAAATTCTCTCTCTCTTGAAAAGGCACATTTCTTTGATCATTGTAAAATTCAGCTGTTGTGGTTCATCAGTACATGAAAATGAAGCAGCACTCAGTAAAAACAATGATTTTACTGTGCTTGTGCTTTAAAAACAGAGCTGTATTGGAAGACTCCACTCCACAAAACATACAGTGAAGCTATCAGTTCAAGGGCATAACCTGAAGACACAAGTGGGGGATGACAGTCTAACAATGAGTAATTCAAGTCAGACATCCTGAAGAGCATGTCTTGTGCTGAGATTATTGCTGCTGCAGGTTAAGATGAGAAGTGTCAAAATAAAATGGTGTACAGAAGAGTTGAAACTGCAAGTTATTCCCAGACAACACCTTATGTATTAACCAGTTTTAGATCACCTCTCAAAATTTATAAATGGTATCACTAGCAAAATTTATCATGAAATTGGTATGCAAGTTTTAGTCCTGGAACTGACAAACTTGGCATTTAGAAATTCCATTCAATCAAAAAATCTACTGTGTAAGTACATCATATTAGTTTTAGTAAGGTTAATTGCTAGTTCAAATCATACATGGCTTACAAGGAACTGCTGTTTCAGTTTTCAAACCCATCATTTGTGCTCAAGTCCCGTGACTCTCCGTGATGTAACAAAAAGAAGTCGTCTTTTTTCAAGCCATATCTTTCAAGAGCTTCATTCAGTTTAACTGGAGGATCCAAATAATACTGGAAAAGTGAGAATAATATGAGGGAAATGATACCACTACAACATTTGCGGGGAAAAGAAATCACAGCTCTAAAAAAATGGGGGGAGGAAGAGAATATTCCTTTTATGACCTCTGAGATCATTGAATCCAATCACTAACCTGTCACTGCTGGAACCCCTAAACCCTAAACCAGATCCTCCAGTGTCAGATCCAGATGACTCTTCAACATCTCCAGGAATGGTGACTCCACCACCTCCCTGGGCAACCTATTTCAGTGCCTGAACACCCTAACAGGGAGAACATTTTTCCTAACGTCTACTCTGATTCTGCCCAGTCTCAGCTTATGACCATTCCCTCTACTCCTCTCCCTGCAGCCATGGCAGGAGAGACATCCCCCACCTCTCTCCAACCCCTGTCAGGGAGTTGTAGAGAGCCATGAGGTCACCCCTGAGCCTCTTCTCAAGGTTAAACAAACCCAACTCCCTCAGCCCTTCCTCATACAACATGTGTTCTAGACCTTTCCTGCCCTTGTTGCCCTTGGCTGGACTCACTCCAGTGCCTCGAAGAAATTATGCATGACCTACAGGCAAGCACTTCTTACTATCTCCAAGTGATGCACCACTGTGTTTGCTTTTATTACCTCATACATGTCCCACCTTTCATGTTCCTCAGCTTTTGCATATCAGAAATCCTACATTTGTTTCAATAACTTTGCGCTTTCTTAACTTTGGAGATATTTGATGTAATTAGCAATGAAAAGCTGAGCACTGGTTTGAGCAGCAGGACAGAGAGTTAACAAATTTTTACTCACACAAAGTTCAGACTTCAAGTTTACATTACAGATACATAGGTCAAGCTGCACAAGCAAAGCTTCTTTAATGACTGTGTACCTGGAAATTTGAACTCATGTGTAGTGTTACAACTTACCTCATTTGCTAAAGCAAAGGTCCCCCAATGAATTGCTACAGACTTCTTTGCTTGAACATCAATATGGATTCTTACTGCTTCTTCAGGATCCACGTGCTGGTATTTCATAAACCACCTACAGAACACAAAGTACAATTCCTTTTATGTCACCTAATTCCGCCCAAGATTTCTTCTCTACTTTCATTGCATAAGTTGCAAAGAGCAAAACAAAAACCACACTCACTAATCAAAAAAACCCATGAGTATATATGCCTGAACAACATACAGAAGACTCAAAAAAATCCAGAAACTAAAATAGACCAGCATACCCATGAAACAGCAGTTCATGTACTGCACTCACCTTTCCAAAAGGTTTTTTTCTTAGCTGTATTTCAAGGACATATTACTGATGCCTTGAGGCATTAAGGCTAAAAATTTAAGTCATCCCTGAAAAAAATCTGATGCAAGCAGCACACACCAGAAAGGATGTGCTTCAGAAGATAGCCCAAGGGAATGGTGGTGAAGCAGAAGAACCTGGCAGTTCTTGAAAGACACCAGATTTTACCATGCTGTTCAGATTCCCACCTCCCTTCCCCAGTCTGTGCATGCTTTGCTCCCAGCATTATATGAGTCCTGTCATCTAAAGGTTGAGATACCCTGTCCTAAGTAGGATGGAGATGCCTAAACAAACAGGTCTTTCACAGTCTGTAACAGAGTAATCTTTATCTCCAGGTAAGTTGCAAAACCAGCAGAAAAGTTAAGACTGAAGCAAGAGAGAACTGCAGCCAGTGGCAGGAACCTCCCTGGACTAGGTTAAATGGTGCTATTGCAGAAACAAAGCCACAAAGTAATTCCAGGTTTTTACTCAACACGTTTCATGCTTCACCGTGCTGTGCTTAACACTGAAGAAAACATTCTCCAAAAACATCCCACATCGCAGGCAAGGCATCCTAGACATTGCAGCTCCATCTCCTGATTGCCTGTTGGGGTTTTTTTTTCAGTCAGTCATTACTTTTGCCCCAAAATTTCCTTCTTTTCCCTCTATGTTCTATTGAATATTCTTAATAAAGCAGACCTACAGTTTTAACTTCTGGGTGTCTGCTCGTTTGGTCTGGGGTAGAATTAACTTGCTTCACAGTGGCTAGTATGGGGTTATGTTTTGGATTTGTGCAGGGCACAGGGTTGATAATGCAGAGATGTTTTTGTTGTTGCTGAGCAGAGCTCACACAGAGCCAAGGCCTTTGCTGTTTTCCATACTGACACACTGGCAAGGAATTTAGGAGTGCATGGGAGACTGAGAGGAGACACAGCCAGGACAGGTGACCCAAACTGACCAAAGGGATATTCCACACCATAGGACATCATGCTCAGTGTATAAAGTGGGGGGAAGAAGGAGGAAAAGGAGACCATTTGGAGTGATGGTGTTTGTCTACCCAAATCACCATTATGCCTGATGGGGCCCTGTTGTCCTGGAGGTGCTGAACATCTTTTGCCCATGGGAAGCAGTGAATTAATTCCTTGTTTTCCTTTGCCTGTGTGTATGGCTTTTGCTTTCCTTATTAAACTGTCTTTATCTCAATCCATGAATTTTCTGGCTTTTACCCTTCTGATTCTCTCCCCCATCCCATTGGTGGGGGAGTGAGTGAGTGGCTGCATGGGTCTTGGCATCTGGCTGGGGTTAAACCATGACAGGGTGTATTTTTTCTCATCAGCACATCATTTCAATTATGTATTTTGATCAAACTTTGATTATCATACCTTGGCTCATAAGCTCCAATGGGGATGGCTGCAAGATCGAAAGGTCCAAACCTTTTACCTATTTGTTCAAAAGCAAAACAATATCCAGTATCTCCTGCAAAGAAAAACCTATTCCAAGGTCCCAAGACAGACCAGCTGCCCCAGAGAACCTTGTTATCATCTATCACAGTCCTTTTGCACCAGTGTTGAGACGGGGTGAAGACAAACGTTACGGCATCGTGGCCAGGGACACAGTTCTCCTCCCACCAGTCCAGTTCAATGACGTTCTCACAACCACATCTCTGCATCCACTGCAGGAGCCCCAGAGGCACAAACCAGCGCAGCTCGCTGCCGAAGCGTTCGTTCAAACTCGCCACGGTGTTGTAGTCCAAGTGATCATAGTGAGTGTGGCTGATCAACACCGCATCGATTTTGGGCAGCTGTGCTACAGTGCAGGGAGGTCCTCGGAAGCGCTTGGGGCCCAAGAGCTGGAGAGGGGATGCTCTCTGGCTGAAGATTGGGTCAGTCAGAAAGACAAGTTCATCCATTTCCACCAGAACTGTGGCGTGTCCCAGCCATGTGACTCTCATACCAGCTCCTGTTTTCCCAGCAAGTTCTGGCTTTTGGACAAAGTAAGGTTTTAACACTGGAAGCTCTTTATCGAGTTCCTAGCAAAAAAAAAAAACCAAACAAAAAACAAAAAAAAGAACACAATATGCATGAGAGATTTCAGAATGTACTTGGCCACAGAACAAAAACTGCATACAAGGCACAAATCAATACAGTCATGACTTGCACTTTGTTTATGCTTTAATGGAAGCAGAGTATTGCAGCACAAAACAGGTGCCTTTTTAATGGCCATTTTCCCAGCTACTTCCTCCTAATTCCATTTTAGGTTTTTTCAATATTTACATCCCATCAGGCCTGGAGACTTACTGACAGAATCATAGACTTTCAGGGGTTGGAATGGACCTCACAGATCATCTAGTCCCAACCCCCTTCCATGGACAGGGACACCTCCCTCCAGAGCAGGTTGTTCAAGGCATCATCCAACCTGGCTGTGAACACCACCAGGGTTGGGGCAGCCACAGCCTCCCTGGGCAACCTGTGCCAGTGTCTCACCACTCTCAAGAAAGAAAGAGTCTGAGAACACTGCAGTGAAAGAACTGCAAGGCACTAACAGCACCCCAGGAAGGGCTTTGTAATTGGTTGGCTTTTCCCAGCCTAGAAAAGAATATATACACACACACTGTTTACTTAGCAAAAGCTCAAGTTTAGCTTGTGCAACTAAATGATGCCTCCTAAAAGTCCTAGCACAAGTTAGTCAGAGATGGAAGAGAATGCCATGTTCCCAACAGCACTCCACAAAAGCTCTACTAGCCTTTACCAAACCCTCTCTCCTTTCACGTTGCCTAAAAGCAGCATGTGGAGGTTAACCTCAACTGGCTACTGTTTGCTTTTACAATTCTGTCCTCCCATCCTTGCAATAATTCAGTGAACATTAATAGAATCATAGAATTTTAGGGGTTGGAACAGACCTTATAGATCACCTAGTCCCAACTCCTCCTGCCATTTTTGAGATGAACCTTAAGGTACTTAGCTGTGCTTCTTCTGTTGTTTTATTGAAGCCTTTAAGGTAATTAAAGTTTAATTATTACTGAATAAATCACTATACTGATCTCCCTGTATGCTCTGGATGCAGTCCCATGAATGACTTCAAGTCAATCTATATCCATTCTCTTGTGTAACAAAGCTATGGAAAGGTTTCCCCCACCTCCCCTTTTGGTCCATGCAGTCCCCACTCAAGTCAGAGAACTGCTCAGGCTGAACACTAATCCAGAGGAGAAAACCAAACAGCTTTCAGCTCACCTGGCTCAGATTTGACTCTGTGTGTAGCCTCAAGTTGGCACAAGGGAGGTCATGGCTGTACATTACTTACTGAAAGTCATCACCCAACACCCACTCACTCTCTTGAACTGGAGTTATGCTCTTCACTGCAGTTTGGTTGAGATGCTTATGCAGAAGTTTTATTTGTAATAAATATGAGCTTTCCTATTTAAAAAACCCCAAACCAACCAGAGTCTTCTGGTAGTACCTGACCATCTCCAGCTTGGCCACAAGGTGGCTAAGGCTCTCCAACAGTTCTGGCCTAAAGTCCCCACATGCTTTAGAAGGACTTTTGTGTGCTAGGCAGCTTCTACAGACTCCTGGCACTCCTCTTCCTGGTGATCACAAGTGTCCCAGCACTTCTGACTCCTACTCAAGTTCTCCCTGCAATGGTTGCTGCTCTCATTCTATCAGCCTAGCACAGATTAGCACTATCAGAGAGCTTATACGGAGCTGACCCCGAGCTCCCTTCAAAGTCCAGCTGTGACAGCTCGGGATTCTAGGAGTTGTCTTGCTAAAGCAGCCCTGACAGCTTCAGGGAAGTTACTTTCTCCACAATATTTTATTGATTTGGAAAGCATATGCTGGGAAAAACAAAGCACACACATCTCCATCCCCCAGCAATTCTAGTGTAAATCATAAAATATTAATAAAATTGCTTTTTATGAGTGCTAATGGACAAGACATGTCTACTGTAAAAGTTTCATTACTGTCTCCAGGAATGAGAAATAGATAACTTTCTATAAGGCTGAATATAAGGTTAGTACAATAAAGCCACTTAATTCATACAAGAAAAGTAGGAGTCTTAGACTGAGATAAGTGGCTGCTTCTCCAAGAAAGGAGCATCACTTTCTTATCTCTGTTTCATTCTAAGTACATGGAATGACACTGGCAGCAGAAATCTGAACCACAGAGATTGTTATATTGTGACACTTCAAATAAAAAGGGTGGAAGATGCACAAAACTAACATAAGACTTGAGAATGGAAATTAGGACTAACCAACAAATTACACAAGGTTAAGTCAGCAAATCAGATCACATCAAAGAAATTAAACTTGGATGTGGAATTTCATAATGAATTGACATAATGCAATTTAGGTCAGTAAGTACATTTGTTTTGGAAAATATTCTTTTTAAATAGCTGGTTTTAGAGTGAGACTATAAATTATTCTAAGCATACCATGAACTCATCTTATTTGTGATGACATTTGACACAAATTAGTTTTTAAAATTAGCATCATGCAATATTAATAAATGATACTAAATGGATGAAGAACTGTCCAACTGGCAGATCTGAACAACTAGTTTTTAACTGGGACTCAAACATATTGCACTAGTTTTGACTGGGATAGTGTTAATTTTCTTCCCAGTAGCTCCTATGGTGCTATGCTTTGGATTTGTGCTGAAAACAGTGCTGACAGCAGACTGATGCTGTAGCTATTGCTGAACAGTGCTTACACTGCATCAAAGCCAGTTAACTGGGGGAGCACAAGAAGCTGGGAGGGAACACAGCCAGGACAACTGACCCCAGCTCATCAGAGAGATATCCCGTACCATATGGCATTGCACGCAGCAGTGATATCTGGGGCAAGTAGAAGGAAGGAAGGGATATCCAGAGAGATGATTTTTGTCTCCCCAAGTAACTGTTCCATGGGATGCAGCTCTGCTTTCCTGGGGATGGCTCAACACCTGCCTGGCCATGAGAAGCTGTGAATTCTTTTCTTACTTGGCTTCTGCCTACAGTTTTTGCTTTACCTATCAAACTGTCTTTACCTCAGCCCACAAGTTGTCTCAGTTTTGCCCCTCCAATCCCACAGGAAGCATGGGGTGGTTTGAGCAAGCAGCTGACTGGGACTTGGCTGCCTACCAGGGGAAAACCACAGCACATGTGCACTATTAATAAAGGCTATACAGGGATGTCACTGGGAGTGACACTATTAAGCATTAGTCGATGCAAAGGTACAACTAACCACTACAAAAGGCACTTGTAAAGGTCACACAACCACCAAGAGAAGAAAGAGGAGCACAGTTCGAACAACTGCTAACGTGACCTATTTAAATGAAAGCCTGAGAACAAAAGCTCAGGATAAAGCAAGAGCACAAAGACAAGTGTAACTTGTAGATCTCATAAAGAGCTTGTGCTTTCCAGGTTTGTGATACACAAGGCTTCTGATCCAAATCAATGATTCCTCAGGGGATGAGATCAGAAATCAGATGCTTTGTTGAGCTAACATAGCAAGTCACACCAGGAAACAGCCAAAATCAAATTACTTCTCAGTGCATAGGGTTTATGTTTGGGGTTGTTTGGATTTATTTTTTTTTTTTAGTAATTTACCAAAGTACACCAGAATTACCTTTAAGAGCAATAAGAACTCATTATTCAACTCCTAAGATTTCAAACCAAAACACAAGTCCTATTAGCAGTGTATACTTCACAAGAGGATAAAACAATGCAATGAATGAAATACATAATCTTACAGAACTTTTATCCTGCTATACCATATTTTGTTCTCTGTCAGACTAACCACAAACATATCAACACTAGAAGAATTATAACAGATCTTGGAGATAAGGCATTAATGTCAAATCAGCTACCAACCAAGAAGCAAAATGTGCTTAATACTGTCTCATCTTCATCACTGAAGTAACATAAAAATTCCTCCTGCCGTGTCCCTTCCCCCCTCCCATGTTCTTCTTTCCCTCCTAATGCAAAGCAAGAACAAACACATGACAGGCTTTGGTCAGACTAGCTGATTAGCTTAGGATTTTTGGTGCTTAGTGCATACTGGAATACCTTGGGATTGTACAGAAATGAGAACAATCCAAACAGTCGATCCAACAACTAGTAATTATAGATCCTCCAACAGCACTGAACAAAGTTATTAATAAAGCCTGTAAGGAAAATACAAGTCTGTGCATTCTGGATAATGATACAGGCTCATTGTGAAGGTATGATTATAATACATATAGCTTTGCCACAATGAAGTACAAATATAAATCCTGGATCATATGGGGTTTTTTACATATGCAAAGCCCTTGGAACAGGTAAAGTGAACCTGCCCAGCACAGCAGGGTATCACTAGGCACACTCAACGTGGTACCTGAAGTAGGACTCTGCTCAAAGGAAAAGTCATCCAGAAGGGCTAAATAAAGCACAGGGCCCTTAGTTTGAATTTTAAACAAGCTCAGAAGTGCTTTACAGGCTGATTTAGGTGTGGAACAAAACCAGTTGGAACAAGCATCGAAATGGCTGAGGACTCCAGAAGTGCATTTCATTGATCCCTATCTAGGTTTTGCTATTTCTGATTGAGTTCACTGGGCTCCTGAATAATTGCAGGCACTTAATTGCAAAAATTTTTATGCAAACAATAAAACTAGTGCAAAATTAATCCCAACCAGGTCAGAGAGACATCTTTTCAACTGGTACCTTGCAGATTTCTTTGTAATCATCCTTTATTGAAGGGACAAACTGTAAATTACAGGGAAGTGCTGCAGTTCTCCACTGCCATCAGTGCTGTGTGTTCTGCACTCAACAGTGCAGCTTAGTTTAGCATTGCCTTCTAGGGGCTTCAGTCACTAACCAGCTTACATATATATTATTACTATTATTGAACAATGACAGCCAAGATTATTCCTCCTTTAAACATGTTCTACAGAATCATTCAGGCTGGAAAAGACCTTGAGATCAAGTCCAACCTATGATCTGACACCACCATGTCAATTAGAACATGGTACCAAGTGCCACATTCAGTCTATCCTTAAATACCTTCAGGGATGGTGACTCCACCACCTCCCTGGGCAGTTCACTCCAGTGTCTAATCACCTCTTCTGTGAAGAAATTCTTCCTCATGTCTACCCTAAACCTCCTCTGGTGCAGTTTGAGACTATGTCCTCTCATCCTGTTGCTAGTTGCCTGGGAGAAGAGACTGACCCCACTTGGCTACAGCCTCTTTCAGGGGGTTGTAGAGAGTGGTAAGGTCACTCCTGAGCCTTCTGTTCTCTAGGCTAAATAACCCCAGTTCCCTCAGCCTTTCCTCACAGTTCCAAACCCTTCACCAGCTTTGTAGTTCTTCTCTGGACACACTCCAGCACCTCAACATCCTTCCTGAAGTGAGAGGACCAGAACTGGACACAGCACTCAAAGTGTGGCATCATCAGTGCCAAGTGCCACAATCCTTAAAGACATCTCCAAACCTCTTACCATCATGCATCAATGAGTAGCACTATTTTCCCATCCACAGAACTGGTCAAATTCCTTCCTTCACAGGCAAGAAGATTAAACTGAAAAGAGTGAGCTCTTTACTAAATACTGACTGTGAGACTTACAGCTTGTGCACACCTTCCTGAATGCTCAAAAGCACTATTAACACCTGATTGCTAAAAAATGCTGTCCCTGGCTGTGTGCCCTTCAGCACAGCTTTTCTGAAGTGCAGTCAACACATCACAAATACACTGAGAAGTAAATCCTGTGGATACTGTAGTCATCTCCATGCTCCTGTAGCCACAGAGATAACCCATGGCTTTCCAGCATCCATTACTCTTCATGGAAAAGAAGCTTCCCCCAGATGTTGCTTCTCCTGTCTCCTCCTTTATATACAATACCTGACAGAAGCAGCACAGCAAGAACAAGTAAGTGTTTCCCAGTAAACTGGGACTGTTCTTTACGAGTTTCACTACAAATACTTGCTCGGGTGAGTTTTAACAGATGTGATTTTTTTTCTCCTGGTGTATTGAAACAGAAAAACTGGATTTGCAAACACCTTCATAAGTAAGTGACAGCAACTATTTATTGCATTTTTATGAAAAAGATGTAACATATTTACCAAATGGGAGTCTGGGAAAAAAGGCAAACCTTAACTAATTTTAAATGAGATATGCCACAGCTATTTCATGCAAACGTGAACTATGTTAGCAACATCCTTCATAAGGAAACACCTATTAAAAAGGAAAGGGTGTAACTGTGGTTTGTGACTGAGCTAGAGGGCCGTTTTATTTGGTTTTCTATATATAAACTGAGCTGCATAGATCAAAGGGTGTGGAACTAACAAAAAGGAGCAAAAAAACTTAGAGGCAGAAAGTATTAATCCACCTTTTGAAAAGGCTAAAATGATAATAGGATCTGAAAAATAGGACTTGGAAAAGTCTCCAAAAGATCCCTAATGAGTCTTAGTCAGAAACTGTCCTAGAGCAGAGGTAAAAGCAGCAAATTCAGACAAGAAAACATGCAAGTCTTTACCTGCTTTGAGCGTGGCACATTGCTGTTATCTTTTTCCATGAGGGACCATTTCAAAACATTTGGCAAGGTTGGCGATTTCCACGTTGGCCATGGGTTGACAAATCTCCCATCTTTGCCTCTCTTTGATTTAGTCACATCCTCTTCTAACCTGTAGTCCAACCTGAAGCTTTTCCTGGAGGTCCTGGAAGAATCGCTGCCCCCAGAGCCACGACCCGAGTTCTGACGTTTCCTCACTGCTTCCTTAGGGTACTGGTTACCTGCAGTTGAAGGCTGCTCTTCATCTGTGTTCTTCTCCATATCTTTTGCAGGAGAACTGAAATAAAATATAAATTAATCAATATTTTCTTGGCCTAACATCAACATTCAGGAGCCTGAACGTTCTCACACACATTAGGAACAAGCCTGACTTTCTCCTTCTATGGTCTGCTGTATTTTTTTTAGCAAGAAAATATGCTTTTAAAACAGTTGCTGTTACACAAAAGGCTTCAGAAACATGCTGTGGCAAGCAGGCACGAGATCTCTTTGTAGTTCAGGCAGAATTTTACTCCCTGGAATGCACAGCTTCAGATACTAACACTATTATCTACCAACTGCAAAAGTGAGGGGGAAGGGCTCCTTAATTTACATGTTGGAAGAATAGTAATTCCTCTTGAAACTTATGACATTTAGTGCCTGATGTAACACAATCCTGCAAATCTGTCCAAGAGACACTGGGACTATACAGTGCCTTAGGATTTGCCTCTATAGTGACTATTTTGTAGTAAGAGCAGCAGCCTCACGTAGCATTGCTAACACTTTACTTGCACCAACAAGAGGCACATACATGCAGCAAAGTCAGAACACAAGATATATTTGGAACGACTTCCTGTTTTGTCTAAAACAAAGGGAAAGCTTATTGTAATAAAGACAATTGTAACCATTTCAAATACAATTTCAATGCACATTTAACTGAACTGACTGGTGAGAGGCCACAGAAAACTGGAATATCTCAAATCAAATCATGGCTGCAACATTTGTTCTGAATTCCATTGTGAAATATAAAAGAGTGGGAAAAAATAACTGAGAAAAGCTTAATTCAATGAAGTCGCAATTCTGGCACATTTCTTAGAAAACTGTGAACTTGGAGTCTTTTTTTCCAAACTGCCCTAAAGTGTTGCAGAGTTTAGGAATATAATCTCATTATATCCAAGGTAGAAAAAATAATTATCCCTATTTTGTTTTAAATGTTGCTGAAGCAACTCAGCTGAATGTAGAGGATGAGCAGTAATGAACAGACAGCACAATTTACTGCTTAGAATCATGGAATGAACTGGGTTGGAAAAGACCTCCAAGATCGTCAAGTCCAACCCTACCGTGGTCACTAGCCCATGGCACTAAGTGCCACATCCAGTCTCAGCTTGAAAACCTCCAGGCATGGTGAATCCACCACCTCCCTGGGCAGCACATTCCAATGCCTGAGCACTCTCTCTGGAAAAAATCTCTTCCTAATATCCAACCTAACCCTCCCCTGGCAGAGCTTGAGTCTGTGCCCTCTTGTCCTGCTGCTGGTTGCCTGGGAGAAGAGACCAACCCCCACCTGACTCCAACCTCCTGTCAGGGAGTTGCAGAGGGTGAGAAGGTCTCCCCTGAGCCTCCTCTTCTCCAGGCTGAACACCCCCAGCTCCCTCAGCCTCTCCTCATGGCACTTGTGCTCCAGTCCCTTCACCAGCCTCGTTGCTCTTCTCTGGACCTGCTCCAGCACCTCAATGTCCCTCCTGAGCTGAGGGGCCCAGAACTGCACACAGTATTCAAGGTATGTTAGGTGCAGGAATAAATTTTAACAAGAAATTGTAAAGTTTGTCCTATGGAAAACTCTCCATCACAAGTTTTAGCCTATCTCCCGTTTCACTCAGGCACTGATACTTCAGCTGTGCACTCAGAAGCACTGGGGTAATGTATCTGTCCCAATCTGCTCCAACAACATTGCCAAAGAGCAGAATTAAAGCTCACACTTGTCTTAGACATTGCATAACTCACTGTGCCCCTTTTAAGCTCATAATTGCAGGGGAAATGAAATATATTGTTCACTGTGACATGGCAGCTCAGATGTTACACAGAATGATGAGAGCTGCAAGGGACCCTTGAGGACCACCTAGTCCAACTCCTGGCCCTGCACAGGACATCCCCAGTAATCACACCATGTGCCTGAGAACACCTGTAACACATCTAAGGAGGGCACAAATTTAACATATCTAAGAAGTGCAACCAAAGTGATCCCAAATGCATTTACTGGTGATGCTCCAACTTCAAGTATCTGTTCCTGCTATTCCAGCACCAGCTGGTTCCTAAACACTAAGCATGGTACCAGTTGCTAAGATATGCCAGAGCTGTGAAATTTTCTTAACAAAATAACCATTATTTTGCCATACAGTGGAGATAAAGTATTGACACAGCAAAATTCATTTCTGGTACAGCATTACGAGCAACATTGAGAACACACTGCTGACAGAATTTTTTGATAGCCCTGTCATAACCTCATTTTATGTAATTGCTTTGTACTCGAGTTTCCTGCAGTTTTACTGGACCCGCTCCATTTATGCATCTCTTATTTAGCACATCTGCATCATAATTTAAAATTTAACTGTTGATACTTCTAGGCTTTCTTCCTCTGTTCCACTAAATGTTTACTGGAATTGGCCTTCAGTGAAACCAACACTCAACTTGTTCTCTACCATTTTAAGCAGACATAAAAGGTAACAAAAAGAATCAGTGCCACAGAAAGGCAGGCAGAATACCCCTAAAATTGTAATGGATATTTTAACTGTTACTTTAACTTAAGAAGGTTAGGTGTGTTGAGGGTTTTTTGTCATTCCTCAAAGAGCATTTTCGATGCCAAGTCAGCTTGTTCATTTAGGCAGCTACTCTTCTAGAAAGCATCATCCAAACAAATCACAAAAGTTTAATCAGATAGGTGTTTAATCCCAGGAAATTTTCTGTTAACATCTCAGATGTCTGATTTTTTAAATATATATAACTACTGTAATTATTGTTCCTACGAGACATTTTATATTAGAGACTGGAGTGCCTAAGGTTTTGATTTTAAGCTTCTGTTTATCTATTCATTCATCTCTAAAGTAGGTGAATTCTACTTTTGCTTAAATTTTCATATAAACCTTTGATCTTTTTCTCAAAGTATAAAGCTCTAGGGGAAGCAGGGATCAACTATGCTGATTAAACAAAGGCAATGCCAAAGCATTTAAGGCACTGCAGGTATCTCTCTGTCTGCCAACATATTTTCCACATGATGCACATACATTATGGTCATTAGTATTCCATAAGCAACTGAAGGGATAAAAGACCTCAGTGCTCACAGAATCCTTTAAATCTTTTACATGCATAAGAAAAGGGCACATTTACAAACAATCACTCAAAGTATTCCTGACTAGATTCCCTTGAATTATCAATCTTGCCAGTTCATTTCTGCTTCATTTTAACTGTGAAAATATATCCTAGAATATTCATGACATACCGTAGAAGAAAAGTAATTTTTCTTATTAAAAAGGAAGACAGAAATCATTAGCTTAAAATAAAACACAACCAATTATTACTCCAAGGAGATTCTTACACTTTTGCAAAAGAAAGCCTCTACTTGTAAGGAGATTTAGCAGGTGTATCTCAAATATTAGAAAACAATCAGAAATGAGATGATTTTTCTGCCAGCTCTCCTAAATCCTTCCCTTCACAAAACAAAACAAAACCCAAAAACAACCAGTTTGGCACTTGAGAAATCAATTTAAGCACTTGAATGGCAGCAAAGATTATGAGCTATAGGACACTAAAATCAAACTGGAGTAGAGTTGTGTTCACTTGGGAGGGACAGAGGGATCTTGGTGAAGTTTTATTGATATGTAAAGTTCTACAGGAAAACTTCTATCTTCCATGCTTTCAGACAGAAAGAAAACCTACTATTCTACTTAAAAGCATTAAAGTGCTTTCCTGAGAAATGGAACCCATCCTTCAGGATGAGGTGGCTTACCCCCAAACAGGGGCAAGGGATTGCTGTAAGAGAGGCTCAGGCAGGACACAAGGCAAACACACTCTCTCTCTGCACTCAGAGGTGCTTTGCAGTTTCAGCTGAACTCAGGGAAGGAAATGGACCAAGACACACAAACTACTAAGGGAGACCATTAGTCGTGCCAAACCCACGAGGCCAGAAGGTGCTCTAGAGGGGAAGAGCATCACTGTCTGATGAATAGCATGAAGCCTAACATGAATCAAAATGCAGAGCTCACACAACTGGTTTTCCAGCCCCAAATACTAATGCATCTCCTACTAATGCACACAAAGCAAGAGAGAAGTTGTAGGTCAGGCAATACATGGCATGGAAAACCCATGTCATATGTCCCACTAAACCAGCTCACTCCTGAAACAGGATACAGCCCTTAGGACAGGTTTAGGTTAGGTTGTTTATTTTAGCATTGCTTATATAACTGGAAACTTGGATACAAATATTTTTGCTATGAGCCTTCTGTTTATTTGGGACAATAATAAAAACTTAACTAAATGTTTGAATACTTTCTGTTCCAAAAGAAAGTTGGGAACAGGATACAATAACATTACAAGGACTACTCCATCATGAAAATTTTCCTTTTTCGATGGTCTTTTAAACATAGCCAAATTACTTGAACTTTATTTGAAGAAGAAATGCATTGGAATAAAATCTATTGTGTCTTCACCTTTTCCACCTGGTCATCTGAGCATCCACTACTTCATAAATGAAATGGATGTAATTCCCCTCCTAACCATACAGCCACACACAGACGTGCCACTAAGCATGAAGTCTGCACAAACAGATTTATCCTTCTTTTCTATACAGAAATGTGGTCCTTATTTAACAAATCCATAAGCCAGAATGTCTAAGAAGGAGTTACTATGAAGCTAAGGTTTACTGGAATCTGAGGACGTCCCCAAAACTTTACAGTTGCCTTGCAGACATTCCATAGCTTTCCAAACACCTTTAACTTCTTCCCATTTTTGAAGCAAAAAGAGTTTAGTTCATTTTTAATCACTGTCTGTCCGTGTCAAGTCCAGAACTGGGCTGCACTACACATCACCTAAAAGGGACAGCACACAATTCCCAGCAAACTCACCCCCCTGCAGCCTTACCAAAGCACCTCTGAGCTTTCTGGAAGCCACATCACATGCAGCTACATCTTTCAATGTACATATTTTTAGTGACTGCAGAAAACATGTATTTTGGCTTGAAATAAAACAGAAAAGGTTAAAAGGAGAGGTATTTGCAAACACTAGGGAGCATGTAAGTAAGTG